TTCTTTATATGAAATGCAGGCTAGGTAAAGCTATAGAGACAGCAACTGAATTGTTTCTTAGGGTTACGGCTAGGGAGGCTGGAGTTAACAATGATGAGTACAAGAAAGAAGAACCTATTCTAAAATTGATTGTGGTAATTAATGACTGCACAATTATTTTTAATATGTCTAAACCATTGAATTGTATGATATGTGACATATGTCAATAAAACCGTTAAAATTCAAGGAAAATACCCCAGGCCACTGTTTAGTTTCCATGGCACTTTGGTGTAAGATTGGCAGCATGAATTGGAAGACAGAAGGGGTGGACAGCTGTAGAGAATCACGTGCACATTGTAAAACCCCTTGAAGAGTAATTCTCATGCTTTCTTCTTTATCTTGCCACTGTTGCCAAGGCCTCTGGTGCTTGACTCCATCACTGAGCTCTCGTTGGTCCAGAAAACCCTCTATACTTTCAGCAAAAAAAGGTTAAGCAGGGAAAGAACCATTATATGAGTGTGAAAGTATATATACATCTACATCTACATATATATAAAGCTCCTGAGTCTTTTGCAGTTGACTGGCACCTCTATCCTTATCCCTCCATGATCTTTACTTTAACCTAGGGGAAATCTCAACTTGAAGTTGATTGGTCTTCATTTCCCCATACCCTCTGTCATTGTCTCTATAACCCACCCAACCCCTCTGAGGCCTCAACCCTGTTTCTCCTCTGGGCCTTATATCTCTGCTTGACACATTCCTCTTCATATTTCCTTTTTCTATCTCTAAATTTAGGTGGCCCTCCTCAGAGAACACATCGCTCACTCAAAATCTGGGGGAGGTGCCCAGATATGTGCTCCCACACACGCTCTATGTATAGTACCACAGTTGCGTGATTGATTCATTTTTGCCTTTGGTTTCCTCTGAACTATAAATGTGTTGTTCTTCATTGAAACCCCAGAACCTTGTAGAATACCTGATGCATTGTAAGTGTAAGTGCTCAATAAACCTTCGCTGAATAAATGAACAGAGAAGTGTTGCCTTGGCAAGTTTCAGAGACTCTTTTGACAATAGTCCAAAGAAAAGATCTTTTCTTCTTTCATGTCTTTTTAAGGATCTTTTGCTTTCTTCCTGTATTCTGTACTTGTCTTGTGTTCTCGATGTCATCCTACAGCTCATGAGATCTTCTTTCACTAGCGTTCAATATTTCACATCTGTTATTGAGAGGTTCTCAAGATTCAGGTAAAATAGACTTAAGGTTGTATTTTGGCTCTCAGGGACTTGTTTCAATTTTCTTCAACTTCAACCTGAATTTACATATGAACAACTTATGGCCTGTTCGATAGTTAACACTGGCCTTATTTTAGCTGTTGATATTGAGCTTCTCCATCGTCTCCTCCCACAGATATAATCAATTTTAATTCTGGATATTTCATTTGGAGAAGTCCATATGTCTAGTTGCTGTTTGTGTTGTTGAAAACAGGTATTTGCAATGAAGAAAACATTGGTCTCATTACATTCTATCATATGATCTCAAGCTTCTTTTCTATCATGAAGGTCCTATTTTCCAACTACTTTTCCTTCTTCCTTGATTCTAATTTTCACATTCCAGTCACCATAACTATCAATGCATCTTGATTGCATGTTTGATCAACTCCAGACCGAAGACATTGGTAACATTCTTTAATTTCTAGCTTTAGTGGTTGGTGTATAAATTTTAAATTATATTTGTACTGATTATATGTATTTGCATTTAGATAGATATTAGAGCTTCACTATAGATCTTAAAATGTCCTTTTGATGATGAATGTGGAATCATTCCTCTTGAATTTGCTATTCCCGGCATAATAAACCATATGATTTTCTGATTCAAAATGGCCAATTCCAGTCCATTTCAGTACACTAATGCCTAGGATATTGATCTTTTTACATTCTATTCCATTCTTTATTACTTCCAATTTTCTTAGATTGATACTTTGTACATTCCAAATTCAAATTACTAATAGATGATTGCGGGAGTTTCTTCTCATTTCGAGTCATGCCCTATCAGGTCCCGAAGGCTTCACTTCAGTCACGTCATGAGGGTCGACTCCACTTTGAGAAGGCAGCTCTTGTCAGTCATATTTGGGTGCCTTCCAACCAGAGGGCCCCATTTTCTGGCATTACATCTGACAAGGTTCTTCTGCTATTCCCGAGGGTTTCAGAAGCTGGCCATGTTCTGCTGCAATACATAAGTTGTCAGTGGTTAATTCCTCAGAAGCAGACAGCCTTTTCCTTTTTCTTAGTGTGGAAGCTCTGTTGACTCTGTTCCCTTTGGCTGACCCTGGTGATATTGGAAACATCAGTGGGATAGCTTCCTTCAATTAGATGGGAATAAGGTTTATTAACAATTTTCACTTTGGAGATTATACAAACGTACTTAAAATGAGGAGGACTTGAAGCACTTGTTAATGTAGATCAAGAATTGCAGCCTTCAATATGGATTACAATTTGATATAAAGAAAGCAAACAATATAAGTGAACTATTAAGTAACGTCATGATGAACAGTAAAAGGATTAAATTTATCAAGGATTTTATCTTGTTTGAGTCCACATCATTTGCTCATGGAAACCATAGTCAAGAAATGCAATGGCACATCGCATTGAATAAATCTGCCAATTCAAGACCTCTTTAACATGTTGAAGAGCAAGAATGTTACTATAAAAACTAAGATGTGCCTGACCCAAGCCACAGTATTTTCCGTTGCCTCATATGGATGTGAAAGTAGGACATTGAATAAGGAAGACTGTAGAAGGATCTATGCATTCGGATTATGATATGGATAAAGAATACTGAAAGTCCCATGGTCTGCCAAAATAGCAAACAAATCTGCCTTGGAAGTAGTACACCAGGCTGTTCCTTAGAAAGGCGAGACTTTGTCTCACATATTTTGGACATGTTGTCAAGAAAGACCCATTCCTGAAGAAGGACATCATGCTAGGTAAAGTATAAAGGCAGAAAAAGAGGGAAACTCTTGACAAGATGGGTTGATAGAGCTGCTGCAACAATAAACTAAGACATAACAACCATTGTGAGGATGGCCCAGGAGCAGGAGATGGATGTTTGGTTCTGTTGAACACAGTGTAGCTATGACTCAGAACCAATGATAAGGTACTTAACAACATTTAAAACAACATATGCAAAAAAAAGATTGAAACCATATGCATATGAAAGTTGGACAATATATACGGAAGCCTGGAGAAGAATTGATGTATTTGAATGATGGTGTTGGTAAAGAATATTGAAAGTACTGTGGATTCCAGAAGAACAAAGAAATCTGTCTTGGAAGAAGTATAGCTCCTGAGAAGAGAAGATGACAAGAATTCACATATTATGGAATGATCAGTCCCTGAAAAAGAACATCCAACATCACCCTTCTTCTTCTTCTTCTTCTCCTTCTCCTTCTCCTCCTCCTGCTCTTCCTTCTCCTCCTCCTGCTCTTCCTCCTCCTCCTCCTCCTCTTCTTCTTCTTCTTTCTTCTCCTTTCCCTTCTTCTCTTTTTCAATTGCAAGAGAATTTTATGGAAGAATTCCTAAAAAGGATTAAATACCTTCTCAGCCAGCATGGCAGTCTTGATACTTCTTTCTCTTCTTCTTTTTTTTTTTTTTTAAGTTTTACTAACATAAGGACATCATTTTTGGTGTCAGCACAAAGCGAGAAAGACTGTCACGGAGATGTTTGACAGAGTTGCAACAAGGCACTCAAACTTAACAAGGATTGTGAGGGTGGGGCGGGATCAGGTCGTATGTGGTTCTGTTTCACAGAGACAATGGCACTTTACAACAACGTACAAAAACTTGAAAAGAACTTTTCACAAGTGTCCAAGTCAGGAAAGATGGAGAAATTGTGACATGTTAGAAAATGTGTGGTGTCCTCGAACATAAGCAGAAAGCACTAATGGAATAACTGGTAGAACCAAATGAAGCCTGTAGTATTATTAATAATTGTTATATCAACGTTCATTTCTTTTCCAGTTTCCATCCTCATATAAAGATGCCCTTGTAACATAGTGGTTATTCACTGGGCTGCTAACTGCAAGGTCAGTAGTTTGAAATGACCAGCTGCTCAATGGGAGAAAACAAAGTTTTCTATTCCTATAAAGATTTACAGTCTTGGAAACCCACAGGGTCAAGCCAACCTTATCCTACATGGTCATTATGAGTCAGAATCAACTCAATGGCAGTGAGTTTGAGTTTTCTGATAGATAACATTAGAGAAGCTGGGTAAAGGGCATTTGGAAACTCTTATTTAAAAATAACAACCAAACCTAACATCCACAGGCAGCGTCCTCACAGGAATTAAGCCTCCAGTGAAACCCTTCTGACCATTGACCACAGACATAAGCAGCGCTTGCTATCAGACACAGTGCATTGGGAAATGGATTAATACAAATGTAGTTAGGTTAAAATTTAAGACCTTATCATGTGTTCTCCCTTTTGCCTGTTTATAATTTATTCTATTTTTTAATTATTTTCTGCTTCCTTTCGAATTAAGGTTTTTCTGTGTTTTATGTTATAATTGTTGTTGTTTGAAGGGGGGATGTTGTAGGCTTTCCTTTACATGAAATTAAGGTTAGGTAAAGCTATAGAGACTGTAACTGGTTTAATAATTTCTTAGGGTTGTGACAGGGAAATCAAACCAAAACCCAAACTCATTGCCAAGTGTCCATTCTTATTCACAGTGACTCTATCACGCACTGTCATGGAGCCAGTGTGGACTCATAGTGACCCTATAAGACAGGCTAAACTTCCTCTTGTGGGTTTCTGAGACTGTAAATCTTTATGGGAGTAGGAAGCCTCATCTTTCTTCCTCAGATTGGCTGATGGTTTTGAACTGTTGGCTTTGCTGTTAGCAGCCTAACTGCAACCCTGTACACCACCAGGGATTTATGAGGTTTTGGGGAAATCTGGAGCTAATATAAGTCCAAGAAAGAAGAAAATGTTGTAAAACTGATTGAGCTGATGATTGCAAAACCGTTGAAATGGATGGTATGTGAGTCATATGTCAGTGAAACTGTAAAAGTAACTATATTAAACTTTAATTTAAAAACAATGACTATTTGTTCCTCTGCTGTTTTCTAGCACAGACTCAGACAGTCTTACACTCTGCTGCTCCCAAACTCTTCAGTCTTTCCGGGCAAATGACTTACATTCTTAGCCTCACACGTTTTTCCCAAACAAGGTTGGCTTGGCACATTTTTGAAGAGTGTAAGAATTACAGACGCTTTCCTGAGTGAAGCATAAATGGTAGAACAACTAGTAGAAACTCCAAAACTATTCCTTTTCCCTACCTTTCCAAAGTGACTGAATTATTCACATGCCATTTAAACTCGGGAGACGATCCTTGAGCATGGAGACCGTCTGCAGAGTTAGAGATGATGGCTTGTTTAATTATGCATTCCTGTTATTGGCTTCCTTGCCACAGGCTTTGCATTAGAACAGAGAAAGTGAGGAGAAAGGACACACAGAGACGCAGGAAACGCAAGCATCCTTAAACCATTAAAAACCTCAAAATCCAGGACAGAAAGGAAACGCCAATGGAGCTGGCATCGCTTCTGTTTCAGCTTCCAGGAGCTCCCCCAGCACTGCTGTTCATCACTACAAGGTTTTAAGCGTCAAGAAACGAGCACGGGATTGGCTTCTAATGTTTCCTTAGCTTCCGCGGATCTCAGTATAATGAGAAACCGAGATTTGATGCCTCTCAAGCCTGGTGTGTGTTGGGGGGGGAGACTGGTTCTCTCACAACCCGTTTGTGGTTCCCACTGCAGCCCTGGTGGCGTAATGAGTTATGCTTTGGGTTGCTAACTTCAAGGTCAGCAGTTCGAAACCACCAGCCCACAGAGGGAAAAAGAGGTGCCTTTTTAATCCCATAAATAGTTACAGACGCAGAAATCCACAGGGGCAGTTCTACCCTGTCCTAAAAGTCGCTCTGAGTCGGAATCAACTCTATGGCAGTGAATGAGAACAGCCCAGGTAAAGGCTCCCTCTTCCTGCCACCGCCACTCGTTCTTCTTTCCCACGTTGGCGCTCTCACAAGCCGAGCACAGACCTTGCGTTCTTTCAGAAAAACCCGTGCCTTCTAGGGGGCGCACATCAGCTAGGACGACGCGCCCGCCGGACCCTCCACCTCCTTTCCCGCACGGGAGACAGAGCAGCCACCCGCCGCAATACTGGCAGCGCGCACGGTCCTCTCGGCCCGATCGGGGCCCGTGGCCAGTGCCCAGCGCCCAGCGCCCGGCGGGGAACAACCTCCCTACTGTTCCTGCAAGGAGCGCGTGCCAGCTGCCGGGCCACAACGGATCCGGGTGTCAGGGTCGGATCGGGTGAGCGCGCAGGCGAGTGCTGGCAGCCAGCCCCGCTTCTAGCCGGAACCTGGACCCGCCCCGCGACCCTGCCCCTCTCCCGAGGCCTCGCCCCCAGGCGGCCCCGCCCCTCCCCGGCCCTCGGGGCCGCCTCCCGTGCTGCCGCGGGCACCCACTCTCGCGCCGGACTCGCGCCCGGTCCCCGCGCCGCAGCCATGCGTCCCGGAGCGCCGCGAGCGGCCGCGCTGCCATTCGTTGCTCTGGGCGCGCTTCTGTGGTCCTCCGCGGGCGCCTGGAAGCTCACCATTCTGCACACCAATGACGTGCACAGCCGCCTGGAGCAGACCAACGAGGACTCGGGCAAGTGTGTCAACGCCAGCCTCTGCGTGGGCGGCGTGGCCCGGCTCTTCACCAAGGTGAAGCAGGTCCGCAACTCCGAGCCCAATGTGCTGCTGCTAGACGCCGGCGACCAGTATCAGGGCACCATCTGGTTCACGGTGTACAAGGGCGCCGAGGTGGTGCACTTCATGAACGCCCTGTCCTACGATGCCATGGTAAGGAGAGGGGGGTCTCACTGGGGCTGAGAGACAAGTGTGGCTGGAGGGGTGGCACAGCGGTGGAAAACCAGGCGCGGAGAAATGCAGAGAATAAAGCAAGGATGTGCCAGGTAGATGTGGACATAGAAGTTCCTTGGATGATTCCTTTTCATTGTGCAGTCGGTCTTGAACCACCCTCTAAATGTAGAGGAGGGAGGCCCAGCTGTTCTATCAGGGGTTCAGCTGGGCTGGCTGGAGAATTGACAATTACTTAGAGTCAGAGACTGAGCTAGAACTGTCTCGCTTCTCTCTCATGTATTGTCAAGAGTGATTAATCTTCATTTTTTTGAAAGGAAACTGAGAGAGAAGTTGAGCAAATGCCACCAGGGCCAAAAGATGGCGACACAAAGTCCATAACCATAGGGCAGATCACTTCTGTTGTGGGCCTTGCCAACAACTTACTAATCTTCTCTGTGCCTCCCTTCGATCCTCTATAACATCAGGGTAATTACTGTATCTAACTCAAGGGTTGCTTGGCATCTGTCAATGTGGGTTCTTATTGGTACCACACACTACAGTATATATTTATTCAAAGGAAAATAAAAATAGTAGAAACAAAAACCACTTTGAAGAGGAATAATGTGTTGAAACATTGGGGCTTCAAGCGATTTCAGTAAAATCAGGTTGGCACAGAACTTCAGGAAGCGTTCAGCTTGACGATAAGGGGGCTTCAGATATGTCCAAGAGTTTAGTCCAGGCTCCCTTCAATTCTATTAAAAACTATCCCTGGCTTGCTAGACTGAATTCTAGAAAAGGAAAAGAAGAGAGCTACAGAGTAGTAGATAAATATGATGTAAAGATATACAAGAGAGTACCCCCCCAAAAAAAAATTAGGGAAAAAAGCTGTGCTGGCAGAGTTTTTGTATTACGTGCTCCCCACCCCACTCCCTCCCCCCAAACCCACCCCCACAAGCAATTCACTCTGAGTTAGTGCACCCAGTGGCATCACCTGGGAAGATTCTCTCTGGTCAATGTGAATTTTTTCATAAAAGTAATTTTGCTTGAACCTCGTTTTTTGTGATGGCTGATTTAAGAGAACAACATGCAGCTATGAAATTTTGTTTCCTGCTTGGAAAAAATGCCACAGAAACTGTTGTGATGTTGAACACAGCTTACAAGGACAGTGCTATGGGAAAACGTCAAATGTATGAGTGGCTTTTTCATTTCAAAAAAGGTGAAATGTCAATTGATGACAAACCTTGTTCTGGATGTCTGTAGACTTCCAGAACGGAAGAAAATGTCAGCTTGTAGTAGTACATTTGGAGGTCATTCCACCAGATCAGACTGTTAATCAAGCTATCTATTTCGAGCTTCTGAAAAGATAGCGTAACAGTATGTGACCAAAAAGGCCTGAATGGGGGACTGGTTTTGCCACCATGACAATGCACCTGCGCATGCAGCCATGTTAGTGGGCCAGCTGTTGGCACAAAACAGCATTCCTCTCTTGCCCCACACACCTGACCTTGCTCCTTGTGACTTCTTTTTGTTTCCTCAAATGAAGAGGATCATGAAAGGTCTGTGATTTGACTACGTAGAAGAGGTGAAGAAAAAAACGAGGGAGGTGCTGTCAACCATCCAAACAAACGAGTTTAAAGAATGTTTCCCAGAATGGAATCACAGATTTGACAAATGCATTAAGTGTAATGGAGAGTACGTTGAAGGTGATAAAGTTGTTTTGTTAAAAAGAAAAATTTAAATACACAGCTTTGAAAAAAAGTTCTTATTTTGGGGAGGTTACTCCCTCATACATCTCCTCTAGAAAACAATCAGACCACCCAAGTTTTGCCCTGTGGTGTAAAAGCCTAGAGTAAAGGGATTCCTGGGGAAGAAAACAGGTAAGGCCCTCAAGTGCTAATGGAAAAGCTGCAAGTATGGGGCCACCGGGAGGTTGCTTGACTATCGGTTTTTCAAAAGTCAGCCAGTACACCGTCTACCCTGATACATGTGGGGCTCCCAGGAATCGGGGTGGTTTTGACAGCGTTTGATTGTATAAAAGAAGAAAGAATTCAGCAAATCTGGAGAGCATTGGGTGGAATCTTAGAAGATTTGGACAAAGGACAAAGCTAGGCTCCAAAGAAGTTGGCCTGAAAGAGCCGGGTGTGGCGAGAAGGGCTGGTGTGGGCCCAGGGAGGTACAGCAGAGCAGGACCAGGAGGGGTCAGGAGAGCACAGCGCTGTTACTGTTGCTTCCCCTGAGTGGGAAAACATGGCCAGAGAGGATGGCTTGGGGGTTGGTTTTCTTCAGTGTAATTTTTTATTTTCCAAGAACACATTAGAGAGGAAGACAGAGGGTTCCTCTCCAGTCTGACTGTTGTGTTTAGGATTGCCAGGAAAATCCAGCCATTCCACAGATCCCCAAACTCCATAGATATTTAGAATCCACAGAAAAAGGGGGGGTTTCAAGTAGTCAGTGGTCTCTCCTCATTGCTGTCGCCAGGGAGAGACCAGCCTGGTGCTTTGTGCACACTAGTGACAAACTAAATATTTATGCAAGTGAATTGTGACTGGCCCACATCCCCATTTCCTACAACTTGGTAAATGTTTCTTTTTGTGACAGCCTTTCCTTCCCAGTCATATAAACTTAATAGTGAGAATAGAATGGAGACTTCTCTACTTCCCCCTCAGAGAATTTTCCTCTTTAAGTAAAATGGATCTCGTAGTGTTGACGATGGTATGAAGTGTTTATGACAGGATACCTGGGCAAGGCTGGGACAATCTACCACAAGTCACAGCCCCACCCAACCAGGAGTGGTTTGAATACGTGTTGAATGGAACTACTTTCTTTTATGTTTTGCTCAGAATAATTGGCCTGGGGCCTCAAGTGGGAGAGAAAAAAAATGTTCTGTTTTGTTTTTTTAAATATATATTTTTTAATGCTGGTAGGAGGTAGGGAGTGGGAAGCAGTTATACAATTATACATTAAGCCAGATGATTGGATCTCTGATAGCATCAGGAGTTAGCCTCTGCAGTTTGGAGGTTTGGCAGACATGATTGGACCAGTGTAAAACCCTGTTCTTACAATGCCAAAACATGTGATAAAGCTCTGGGGTATTAGCGCTTTACAGAAATTTCTCACCCTTTTGCTGATATTATAAAACCTCTAGGGAACTCATGGCCTTCTGAAGCTTCCCCACCACACCCATGTGCCATGGCCTTGTTCCCAGATTAGAGTGGAAAACAGTTGTGGAGGAGGCTGTGCGGTTCTCTGGAATGTGGCGTCTGGTGCGCTCACAGGAGACTCTTGACCTGCAGACATTTCTGGCGTTAGTTTCTGAACTGGGAAATAGGAATGGTAACCGCACTACAGAGGGGTTTGTGAGCAATGCATGAGGTCGTGTAAGAATCCCTAGCTGGCACATAGTAAGTGCCCACCCCACTCCACATTGTAAGGAAGGGAAGAGTTGATTTTAACCTATCTCGGTTTATCTCGTTCCGGCAGCCCAGGTCTACTCCCACCCCTTGTCCTCATGTTTTCCCTGTCCCAGTGTTAAAACATTTTTTAAGTATTATTGGTGTTGTAAATTGGCACAACATTTGCCAATTCAACATGTTTCATCTGTATATGTCATCCTTTGCCAAATTTTCTATCACCATAAACAGAAATTCAAAGTGTCCCAAATAATGACTGCCCATCCCCCCCACCCCCATCTCTGGTGACCACTATTACTTTAGGATGATCTTTGCATGTCTGCCTATTCTAGATACTTCATGTATAGGCATATCTCAGAGACAAGGCAGGTTCAATCCCAGACCAGAACAGTAAAGTAAATATTGCAATGAAGCAATATTGAAGTTTCAGGTTTATAGAAGTTTTACACATAGAATTTGTGCCAGCACTATACTTTATTAACTGTGTGACTGCATGATGAAAAAGTCTGAAGTATTATGAGAATTGCCAAAATGGGACACAGAGACACAAGGGACCGCATACAGTGGGGAAAATGGCACCGATACCCAGGCTGATGCAACGCTGTCATTAATTTTTTTTTTCTTTTTTGGGTTAAATTTTTTTTTAATATCCGTGAAGCCTATTAAAGTGAAGTGAAATAACACAAGATAGGCCTGTTGTGAAATCATTCCATATTTGGCCTTTGGTGCTTGATCTCTACTTCATTAGGCCCAGTGTTTTCGAAGCCCCATTGTCTAAGCTATTCTTCATGTCAACTGAGGGAGCAGCTTTGTGAACTTCCCCTACAAGGTAAAGGTCAAAGAAATTCAACTCCAGCAATGGCATTCTTAGCACTGAGGAGGATGGTCTGAACGAGTCTCTTGTGTGTTACCCTCTCCCCTCCCAGGGCGACTGTCTCTGTGAATGACCCCTGATTCTGAGGGCGTGGCCCCTGAGCTCACTTTCTATCCAAAAGGCTGCAGCAGCTGCAGTTTTAAAATATTAGAAGTTAGAAGTCACAGTGGGGGCCATGGCCCTGTTTCATTCTTGGGGGTGTCAGGTTTCTAGTCAGTGCCCCTTGTCGCCATTCTTCCCATCCTTCATGGACTACTCTTCTATATTTGGACTGATGTCTTTTTTTATATGTACGTGTGTTGTTAAATTATACAAATAAACCTTTTGCTTAACCTGTTCTGCTTCATTCCTCCTCAAGTGGTTGTGTTTGTGGCCGGTCCACTTGCTGTCTGCACTTCTGTCATGTGTGTACCCACCAGGGTTGCACCGTGCTCTAAGGTGTCCTTTCATTTTACTCACTGTATTAAGCTCATATCCTGAGCACCTCGTTTTCAGAAGGCTATAGATGTCCGTGAAAACCAACATCTACGTACAGAGGCCCCATGTAGATTAAGGCTCCACTGAATTCCCTTTGATCTTTAATCAAGGTTGTAGTCTTGTCCTCAGGCAGAGTGTATTAGAAAATCAACTACAACCACTCTTCTCCAGCTAGTCCAGAGAGGGCTAATCTCTCTGAGGAACTTGCTTGGGTAGCTCCTTCATGGATGCTGTCAAAC